TGATCCTTCTTCACAGGCTACATGAACTGGAGCCATTCCATTGTAATCTTTAATAGTGAGATCCAACTGATGCTCCTCCACTAGATGTTTGAGTATAGGAAGAGAACGACTTTTACATGATAAATGAAGAACTGTTGATCCATTTAAAGTTCTAGCTGATACATCACAATGAGGAAGACTAGTGAGGTAAAAAACTGTGGCAACATGTCCTTCCTGACATGCTGTTTGAAGGAGTGTAGAAGATTGAGTATCATCTCTAGGATCTGTGGCATTGATATCAAATGAATAATTGTTTAATAAATGCTTTAAACAATACAAACGGTTGAATTGTACAGCATAAAAAGGTAATACACCTTCCTTAAATGAGACTACATTGATATGATACTCTTGTCTGAGCCATTCCAGTATATGAACATGTCCATGTCCCACTGCAACTGATGGTGATGAGGATCTGCTGAATACTCTAGAATTAAGGTTGTATTGCTTTATTAATAATTTTAAAAGATCGAGATTACCAGATTTACATGCCCTTGTGACACAAGTGTAGCCATCCTTACTTTCAGTAGAGATATTACATTTCATTACATCAATTAGAAATGTCACTAGTTTTGTAATACCACTGATACAGGCAAAATGAATTGGTAGATCATTATTATCATTCATAGCAGAATGTAATAAATTAGTATGCTGTAGATTATTATTAATAATATATTTAACAAATAAAAATTGGCCATGTACTGTAGATAAATGTAACAAATTTAAATTGTACACTGATACTCTACAGTTGCTTATTAAATACTCTAATGCATCAATAGCACCAACTTGAGCTGCATACTGAGCTGCTCCTGTACCAGAAGTACTTTTAACATGAGGATCCAATTTATATTTATTAATACATAATTTAACTAATGATAGTCTAGTGCTATGCACTGCTTGAAGTAACAAAAAAGGTACGAGAGGAAACTGATGATTATTAACAAGGTATTGGACTAGCTTCATGTTACCACTCCTAGCACTATGAAGCAATGCATTCCATTTACGATTATCTATAATGTTAATGTCACTGTCTTGTACTTCAATGAGATATTGACTCAGTTCAAGGTTACCATGACGACAAGAATAATGAAAAGGTGTTCTACCCTCATTACAGGTTATGTTAATATCAATGTCAGTAGTATTTATAATATATTCTACTGCATTGATACTACCTGACATACAAGCTAATGCTAATGGTACTATACCTTTGTAGTCTGGCTGACTGGCATTCAAGCTATACTGAGATACAGTATAACTGAGTAGAGCAGGTGAACCTGATAAAGCAGCATAATGTACTGCAGACCGACCCTCATAATCTAATGAACTTGTTTCAATACCATATGCCTCTAATACCTCCACTAATAATATACTACCACTAGTACATGCTAAATGAAGTAATGATTGACCAGTAGCAGTAATAGAATTTATATTAAAATCATCAAAAATGCTTGTTTTCTTGAGGAAGGTAAATAAAAGGTGCACTCTTGCATGTTGTTTAGTAACATTTATATTTAGTGATATATATTTACGTAGGGCTTTAATTTGTATTCTGAACAGATAAAACTCATGAAGTAAAGGTATATCACAAGGAACAAGAAGCTTATTATACACTTCTGTAATGCAGTATCTATCAGCCAATCCACTGCATAAGTAATGAAGAGAAGAACGACCACTATAATCAGCTTCTAGTAACACTTTATATCCAAAAATATTAATCATTTTCATAATAAAACCAGATGAAGCATACTGGCATGCTATATGAAGTGGTGTTGAACCAAAACGATTTCTTTTGATTAATTTAATATCGTAATCATTATTTTGAAGATACTCTAGAAGCTCTACACTATCACTCATAGCACAATAATGTACTATCCCACATCCGTTAAAATCTATGTCATCTTCTGAAAAAATATCAAACTGCTTAAGCTGATGAACTAATGCTACCTGTCCACTCTTACATGCTAATAATGATAAAGTGGATCCTTCTCTATTGACCTGAGACACGTTACAATTCTTCTTTAAAAACATAATCAAGAGGTCAACGTGGCCACCCAGTGCTGAGTAAAGCAATCCCGTGTTACCAGAGCTATCTGCTAGGTCTGGATAAATGTTACATTCATTAACTAGATACTGCACAATATTGAGATGGCCTTTATATGAGGCCATGTGTATGCTAATAACACGATCATCATCACCTTGTGAAGGATCACAATGATAAACTTCAACAAGGAGCTTGAGAACATCAAAATGGCCACCATATGCAGCAGCTAATGATGGATTCCAACCATTTGTACCTCTTTCTTGAGAGCCAGCTTCATTCATTAACCATTGTACTTCATCTTTTAATCCTCTCCAACATGCTTCAATGAGTGGAGTGCTGGTATTTTCATACCATAAAGGATCATTGATATCTGAACAAAAATGATAAAATAATACAGTAAATCATTATTCAATTACCAATAATAAAGTGGGAGAGCTTTTTCAATTCATTCTCTGGTAACTATATATGATTAAAAATAATCAATGCATGTGATTAAAAAATAGTCAACACATTTTTTACCTTCAAGATTCTTATTACTTACCTGCTCCATTACATGCACATGTTCATTGCAGCTCAATTTAATAATACCAATCACAGCCAATGAATGACACTGTTGATTGGTAAGTGGAAAAAGAATTGAATACAAGAAATCAGGAATGGAGTATTTTAACTCCATGCAACCATCGTCAATTTCACAAAAATAGAATTTGTATTCTGAAACTTCAAGTGCATCAGCAATTGCTTTATGAAAGAAATATAAATCATTCAAAGTGTAATCATCATCAGCAACTTTTGCTATCATGACTTGAGTACCAGGAGCATCTAGTATACCAAACTCAACACCATTCACGACTTGAATTGCTCGATCATTATTATTTTTAAAATAGTCTTTTAGCATACTGGAGTAAGTTGACCAAATTCGCTGTGCTTCTCTATCTGCTATGAAAACTTGAACCAATAGGACAACGAAGTCAAAATTAAACCAGGAGACACGCTTCTCTAGTACTCTGAATAACTGATTCATCGATTTAACTTTGTCGTACTCTTCTCGTAATTGATCAATGAACTGTGGCTTTCGAAAACGTGGACTCAGTAGATTAATGATGTGACACTGAATATAATCAATTATTTTAGGAAGGGCACCTTTTTTAAGGGAGAGAAATGCTTCTTTGGTTTTATAAAAGTTAGAAGCATATAACCTTTGTAGCTCATCAATCTGCTTCAATATGTCATTAACAGGAAAATCTTTTGATTTTCCACTAGCATATGTAGCTTTGGCATCAGGTGAAGCAAGAGGTACCATCAATTCTGAATTTGGAGTAGCTTCTATAATAAATAAATAATAGAGAGTCTTAATGCTGTGATGTATTACCTCTAGAAGATGAACTGGTTTCTACTGGTGACCATGATTTTACTGGTGACAATGGTTGTTGCTGGCCAGTGACCTCACTACTTGTAGGATACTCCTTTGCTATTTCATCAGCTAAGGCAGGGTTTGCTCCTCCACTTTTACTTCTAATGCAATTGCAGAGCCTTTGTAATGTAGGAACACCACGATTTTCATAATCATAGTCCTTTCTTAACCAACACTCAAAAACTTTTCTTAGACATGTTTTTGGTGGTTTGCCCTCTGCTTCAATCTCATCTAACTTGTTAGGGCTGAGACCCAATATAACTCCAATTGAGTCCCAGTGTCCAGAAAGAACACCTGCCTTCTCCCAAACCAAATACAAATCATTAATGCCTATAAAACATGTATATAAATTGTACATTGTGTACTCTTGACAAAATACACTGTATACTCACCAAGTTCTTTGTCAAGGGTTGTTTCTATTGTGGTTGACATTTGTAAGTGTAAGAAGGAGAATGGCAATGAGAAAAACAGAAGAGAAGGGAAGAAGAAAAACATGAGAAGGAAAGAAATTTGATGAAGTCACACTATTTCCTTTCAGTGTAATTATAAAAACAATTTTTACTGCTTGAGTATAGTTACTGTAAGGGCTGCATAGAGTAGCTTTATTATTTTACTAATAATGAACACAAAGTATAAAAATTATATAGCTATAGTCTAATCCGAGGTCTAATCTGCAGTTCTCATATCAAACAGAGAGAAAAGTTATAAAAAGATATATAAAACAATATACCACAGTAATAATAATAATAATAGTAATAATAATTTTTTTAAATTTTTTTTTCACAATAACAATCAAACAATAACAACAACAGCAATAACAATAGCAATAGCAGTAACAACAACAATAACAATGATAATTTTAAAGCAGGTTAAGTTAAGGAAAGGAAAGGAGAGAAAGATAGAGAGAGTTAGAAAGATGGTGAAATAATAATAATAATGATAATGATAATAATAATAATAATAATAATAATAATAATAATAATAATAATAATAATAATAATTTAATAAGTCTAGTGTTAGTATTTCTCTATTAATTCCTTTTTGTGAGAAATCTCTTGTCTTAACTCTATAATAATAAGAGAATTATCAGTTGATTTTGATCAATACTAAATTTTTAAATTGAACACCATCAATTTTCAGCTAATGAAGCATGCTGTTAAGTTCATTGTGATTATTTTAGGTGTGTCAGTGGATCATTCTAATGATACATCTTATGGTTTATTATCTCAAGCAAAGGAGTATTCAGGATTTGAACTGTACATTCATTACTACTAGAGCAAAATAATTTAATGAATAATTATTACCTATATTGGTAATAATGCATCTTGGGGATATATATGCACCTTTGTATACTACTTTAGATCTATATACAGTCATTTTTTTTTTATAAAGAAATGTTGAGAAATGTTGCAATTAACTGATGCATGATTTACTGCTGTAGGCTGTGTGTTAGGAGTAAGTGATTGATGATTTCATTTCTTAGCATCCTTTATGAACTGAAAAGTAATGGCTTTGGAGCAATTTTAAAAACCAGTTTTGCTCAAGACTCATCACATAAAACTATGAGAAAATTATAATCAAGAATTTACTCCTAATCTTCTTACCTAGTTAGAACTAAAATTTTGTTTTATAATAATCATGCTATCAAAAATTGTGAACTATAATTATTAGCAAAAGGCGTGGCTCAGTCACACTGCTCATGCGCAGATGATTGCACGTGTGTATCTACTCCTCAGACTCAGTGTCTTTGAGTACGTTGACTCAGTGTCTTTGAGTACGTTGACTCAGTGCAGTGGCGGATCTGGGTGCAAGTTAATGGTAGGGCCAGGAAGTGGGTGTGTCCACTTTTCAACCAGTTATTTTATGGTTATGCATCTTTTGGCCATTTTTATGATGGGTTTCAACAATTTCCTCATCTATGCTGTGCTTATAATGCTCTTCAAGCACTTGTAAGTACTCTGGTGTGGCTTGTGGTTTGCTTTATCAAAACTTGAGGCAGGGAATTGTTTACATTGCATCTAATGAATCTCATTACTGACTTCTGATGCCCGGGCCATGGCCCGTCTAGGCCCGGGCCCAGATCCGCCACTGACTCAGTGTCTTTGAGTACTTTGACTCTGGGCTTATGCCATGCCACTGGGGACGCCTAGAGAGAAAGATTTTGAAACAGTCAAGAAAACCATAAGGTCTTTACTACTCTCAGCTAAAAATGGACTCACTCCTGTTCAGCTAACAAAGGATTATATGGCCATCGGTTCCCGAGCCTCTTCGAGCTACTCAAGCATATGCCAGACGCTGTAGCCATGCACAAATCAAGAGGAGGGACTCTTATGCTCCGTGGATTGGCGAGTGACTCCTGTATTCACGTAGCCCAGTTGGTATCAAGACAAAAGGCCACAAAATCATACACTGCCATGAAGTCTGGAATGAGAGCAACAACTTCAACTAAGAGAGTCCCAGCTCCTACCATCCCTCCTCGTTCTAAAGTTCCACTGGTACCTGAAACTGTCAAATTGAGGCTTAACCAGTTACTGATATCTTATCCGAAT